ACTGTGCTCAATTAATATTTGACAAAGGAGGCAAGAACATACAATGGAGTCAAGATAGTCTCTTCAATAAATGGTGTTGGGAAAATTGGACAGATAGATGCAAAAAAATTAAACTAGTCCTCCAACTTATGCCATAAACAAAAGTAAACTCAAAATGGATAAAGGACTTAAGGGTAAGATAAAGAAGCCATAGGCACTAAAGTAGCAGACATTTGTCGTAGCAATATCTTCATTGATAAGCTCCTAGGGCAGTGATGGCAAACCTTTTGAGCTTGGCGTGTCAGCATTTTGAAAAACCCTAACTTGACTCTGGTGCCATGTCACATATAGAAATTTTTTGATATTTGCAACCATAGTAAGACAAAGATGTATATTTCTGATATTTATTTTATATATTTAAATGCCATTTAACAAAGAAAAATCAACCAAAAAAATGAGTTCCCGTGTCACCTCTGGCACGCGTGTCATAGGTTCAACATCACTGTCATAGGGCAATGGAAACTAAAGAGAAAAGAAACAAATGGGACTACATCAAAATACAAAGCTTCTGCACAGCAAAAGAAACCATCAACAAAACAACAAGAAGCCCACTGCATGGGAGAACATATTTACCTATGTTATCTCTGATAAGGGTTTAATCTCCAACATTTACAGGGAACTCATACAACCTAACAAAAAGAAGGTAAACAATCCAATCAAAAAATGGGCAAAGGACCTAAATAGATTCTTTTTGAAAGAGGACATACAGAAAGTCAAGAGACATATGAAAACATGCTCAAAGTCGCTAATCATCCGAGAGATGCAAATCAAAACAACAATGAGGTACCATCTCACACCTGCCAGAATGGCTATCATCAATTAAATCAACAATGACAGGTGTTAGAGAGGATGTGGAGAAAAAGGAACCCTCCTTCACTGCTGGTGGGAATGCAGACTGGGGCAGCCACTGTGGAAAACAGTATGGCATTTCCTCAAAAAATTAAATGGAACTTTCATTTGATCCAGTAATCCCACTTCTGGAATATATCCCAAGAAACTAGAAACACCAATCAGAAAGAATATATGCACCCCTATGTTCATAGCAGCACAATTCACAATATTTAAGATTTGGAAACAGCCTATATGCCCAACAGCCAATGAGTGGGTTAAAAAAAGGTGTTACAGCCCTGACCGATTTGGCTCAGTGGATAGAGCGTCGGCCTGTGGACTGAAGGGTCCCAGGTTTGATTCTGGTCAGGGGCGTGTGCGTTGGTTGTGGGCACATCCCCATTTGGGGTTGTGCAGGAGGCTGCTGATCAATGTTTCTCGCATTGATGTTTCTAACTCTCTATTCCTCTCCCTTCCTCTCTGTAAAAAAAAAAAAAATCAATAAAATATATTTTAAAAAACGGTGTTACATATACACAATGGAATACTATGCTGCTGTAAAAAAGAAGGAACTCTTACCATTTGCAACAGCCTGGATGGAACTGGAGAGCATTATGCTAAGTGAACTAAGCCAGTCAGTGAAAGATAAATACCACATGATCTCACTCATTTGTGGAATATAAAGAAAATTATAAACTCATGAACAAAAATAGATACAAAGGCAAAGAAGCATCCAAGAGACTGTCAAATTACAGTGGGAAGGCAAGGAAGGGTAGGGGGCCGAGGTAAGAGATCAATTGAATGACTTGTATGCATGTATATAAGTATAGCCAATGGACGCAAGACACTGGGGGTGAGAATGTTGGTATGTGCCAGGGGATAAGGGAGGCCAGGGGGAGGTCAATCAGGAAAAACAGACATAAGCACTACTATTTGTACTACTTTAAACAATAAAATTAAATTAAAAATTAAATTATTTAAAAATAAAAAATCTTTGATATAGAAATTAAAATTATATTCTAATAATTATCAATAATTACACAAATAGGTAGATTGAAAGGAGAAAATATACTACTTCAGGTTTATGAGAACATAAAGTCATTTTTATAAATAACATATGTATAAAGATATTAGAAAATTATATGCCCATTTTAGAAGAATTATGTCTAATTACATGAAAAACATTTTTCATTAGTAGGCTTTTCATTGTAATTTTATGCCAAACAAGTATTTGATCAGCTGTTTTCCCCAAAACAGAAAAGCAGAAGCTAAAATAATAATCATAAGTGACAGCTCTTTAGAAGATTTTAGCACCAGTTTCAAAAGTTACAATTGGATTCTAAATTACAATGTGTAAAGATCAAATTGGTTATGAATAGTTTTACTCTACTTTAGGCTCTACTTTTCTTAAGTGAACTAAAACTCCAGTCCATAGAGCTTTACAACCCATTCCCAGACACCGTTTCTGCAGACTTCTAGTCTCAAGTACAAATGCAACTTCAATCATGATGTTTAGTACCTCCCATCCACTGCCCAGCCATGCTGTTACCTGGAATCAGCTTCAAGGCATTCTCCAGGTACTCATCTTCTGTGATAGGACGACCATTTAACTCCAGCTCCAGGATAAAATCCCGTACGGCCCAGATAAAGTCTGGAAAGAAACTCACAAACTCTGTTGAATCTTCTACTCCATCTGGCGTAGTGGAGGACTTTGCCCTAATGCGTTCTGTCAGCTCTGTCACATAACTAGGACCTGGCTAAGGAAAATTAACTTTCTACCCACAATTCCCAAATTTCTCTATTCAGAAAAACAAGAAAACAAAAATAAAATAGTATTATAAACACTCTTTTTCACTCTGGATCCTTTTGGTCTACCAAAGGCAACTAAGTGAGAGGGAAGGAGAAACTGACTGGATCTCCATTCCCACTGAAGCCATGACACATGGAGGCTGGGTTCCTGGAAGGATACTGCAGCTGCTCCAGGGCCTGGTGGTTGATGGTGCTCATGCTGTTGTAGACGAAGCTGCTACATAGCAGCACAGCCAGGGCAAAGATCCACGAGTCATTCTTAGGGTCGCCCTGGAAGTACATTAGGGCATGACATTCAGGGGTTTACCCTATAGAAATTCATTCAGACACTAAGTCTAACAGTCCTTCATTTTATTTCAGGTAAGTTACTCACAATGCAAGCAAGTAAGTTTGAAGATGGGAATAAATATACATATGAGCTTTAGCAATTACAAAAACATTACTTGTGACTGTGATTTTGTCATCACAGGGTTTTCTTTTTAATGAATTGGATGAAATAAAATAACATATAAAGTAATTTAGTGCAGCACCTGGTGTGCTATTAAGTTCAATGAATGGTATTAGCACATATTTATTCTACATATATTTGTTGGTCATGGACTATATAAAATATTCCATAGTTAACATAACTGGGGATATATCCAAGAAGTGTTTATGGGAAACTACTGAATATTTCCACTGTTGTTAAAATTAAAAATCAGTTTAAAATGACAAATATTACTTTCAAGGTCACTATTTCAAAGCCATGATGAACATTTATAGCGAGAAATATAACAAGGATAATATCTATAGGATGCTACATCAAAGTAACGTATATAAGCTTTGGAACCTATAGCTATAATAGTAAATTAAGGGAGGCAGGAGAGAAAATATCAACCAAAGAACTTATTTGCATATATGCACAAAACATGGACACTGACAAAAGCATGCTGAAGGCCTGCAGAGGGGATAGGTGTGAGGAAGACGTGGTCAATAGGAGGGGAAGACGGAAAAAATATGAAATATTTTCAATAATAAATTTAAATTTTAAAAAGTATTAACTTAAAATTTACAAGTCTAGCATGGAAGATCAGAGCTCTGAAAGTTGGAAATTTTTACATAACAAAGTCTTCCTCAGAATCTGGATTGAAAACTAAAGACTTAGCAGAGTGTGAATTTGAAGTGAAGGTATCCTGCACATGGAATGACCCACAGAAGCAATAGTAGCCATGGCCACATACAGAAGTCTTTTCAATAAAAGTAGAATTATTTGTTCTGACTGGAACAGAGGGTGGTTCAAGAAGTAAAAGCTGGATAGTGAGCCTTGTGCAACCAGATGAAGGACATTAAAGGAGAGGGTAACTTGTTTGTATAAAATACAGCAGGTCTAAATAAGGGCATAATACAGACTTTTCATTCTATTACAAACACTCTCTAAAGTTGTTCCCCTGAGCAAAAGTGGAAAATATCAAGAAAAACTTGGAAGGAAATGCTGATTTGTCCATTTATATTCCAAAGCCCAATTTTAAAAAAATGATTACAATAAGAAGTGGCACTTATGACAACCAATAGGTTATACAGACAGCAAGACTGTTTGATATATAAAAATAAACACAATATTTCTAAATCTTCTCTGGGTAGAAATAAAAAGTTGTAGGAATTTAGGTACTATTTCCAAATAAGTCTCAAACTAAAGCAGAAAAGGAGAAATCATTCATTTTACCCTTTAGTCGAAAACTAAAATATCAAAAACCCATCTTAAAATGCTATAGGACAAACACATCTTTTATAGAACCATCTCATTCAGCGGTGTCTCAAAGTCTTCCAGAGTGCTTGGTGAGTACTTGGTGAACTTCACCAGAGGACTGCAAACTTTTTGAGGGCAGGGCTTTTACATGGGTCACTAGTATCTACAGTACTAACTTAGAGACCCAGGAATATGGTGCTCAGCAATTGAATCAAATTATGCATACATTGCCGAGAAATAGAAAAAATTTGCTCAATGTACCATGACACCTTACCTACATATAAGAGTCAAACAACCAAGAATTTGCCTGATATATAGTTCAATTTCTAGATTTCACAAATAGATCAAGCAGTTAAATTAAAGAGTTCATTATGAGAATATCCAGGTTGAAAACATTTTATCTGTGACCCTCTGCCTTACCTTTTCCACATCGCCCAGGCCCTCAGTATCCAGAAGGACCAGAGTGCAATCAGGCTTACAGGGGTGAGGCACACACCACATCCAGATGCCCTTGGTTTTAGACTGCACCGTAGAGCCCAGAGGGAAACCTATAAAGGAAGGGGAGACCCAAGCCACAGTGACAACAGACAATCTAAGCAGCCAAGTGGCTACAAAATCAGACTTTTGGGAATGGAATTACCCCAAGATATAAGATGGTGCTTTCTCTATTTTATAAGAATGCTTTACTTTGTGTGTCATCTATTTGAAGGAGGAGATGAATGTTAACAGTGAAAATGATATCCAGCAAGAGATCAAAATCAAGGTAAAGTGCATCCATGAATCAGACATAATAAAGGTCACTGAATACCATAATAAGAACATATTAAAGAATGGTCCAGTAAAGGCC